TATATATTACAGCATGTTTCATTCAATAATATAGACAAGTTTTGTCTATTTATTTTAAGCAAATTCCTTTCATATTGTCAAATAAGCTTTTTAGCATTATCACTGAAACACGAAAGAAAATCGCTATGTTGATACATGTTTTTATTGTTACATAAGCCATCATCAGAGATTACAAGTACATTACAATAAATTAAATAATAGATTATATAACAAAGATGATAATTTTTTGTGTTAGAATGGTTATGCGGACATTGCAGCAATGATAATTTGTCTTGTTTGCATGGAAGATTGCTCTGCAACGATAAATTCGTACACATATGAAAGGCAGGAAGCAAAATATCGCATTACGGTTCATGACATCACACATGAGCACGTGAGAGTGAAAATGAAGAAAAGTGATAAGTATGGAAAGCCAGTGGTATAAACCAATCGCTCCTGTTATTAACTATAATCATTTAAGTATATTTGTGAAGTTTTCATAGTTTATTTTGTTCAGGTTAGGCTTCAATTGTTTTATGTAAATAGCTTCAAGATTTTTTAGTTTTTGTTCATTCTTTTCATGGTTAAGTATAATTGTATTTTCAACAAGGATTTTCCGGAATTGTGTATGTGGCAGGTATGTTGTTTTAAATACCTAAAAATGTTGGAATTGTCGTTCAAATGGAGAGTTAAGCGTCGTGAAAGCGAGTTTGTGGTGTGATCAACATAAATATTATTTAACAAGATACAATCTCCCAGGGGGCATTTGAATTTGTAAACTATGTTGGTTTTTTGCAAATCGCTAACAGGCGGGGAAGAATCATTGCGAATAATCAAGTTGGATATACTAGATTTAGTGTAGTATATGATTAACTTAATTTTTTTGCTAGGATGTGGTAGGTATATTAGTATTTACCAATTTTTTAGCATATTTTCATCTTGTTTATAATTAGTATACATTTGATTACGATATAGGAGATTAATATGTTTGGGATTAGTTGAAGCAGTATTATGTTCTATTTGTTGAGACTTCTAAGAAAGCATCTTATTTGTTCATCAACTATATAGTTTGGAAAGCTATTATTAATAAGTGTTTGTTTTATATTCTTTAGTTCACTGTAAAAAATCTGTTTTGTGGATGAATTACTTTTTGCACGATGTATTAGATTTTTTATAATTGCTATTTTGTAGTAATATGGACTCTTATTGTTAAGTGTGCACGAATTTATGCTAGTAGGTTTTTTATATGGCAAAATAGTAAATTTATTATTATTTGTGTTTATCAATATGTCTAGGAAGGGAATTTTTATTAGTAGTATTAAGTTCATATGTTAATTTAAGGACAGAAGTATTTCGTCTATATTTTTAACTAACATAAGGATATCATCAACATATCTTATGTAGATGGATGGTTTTTAAATCTGCAAATATCTTATTTTTCAAGGTTAGACATGGAGAAATTGCTGAATGTCGGACCCCGTACTGAACCCATGGAGACACCATCACATTGTATACATATATTATTATTATGATCTAAGAAAGGGACCTCAGTAGTACAAGCTAATAGTAGTTTCCGTAATATATTAGGATTAATTTTAAGTGGGAGTAAAGATGAGTTACTGTATATATTTCTTATAATTATGTCAATAGTTTCACTAACAGGAACAGTGGTAAATAAGTTTTCAACATCTTTTTTGATTATTATGTCAGGGTGATTACGTAGTTCCTTAGCGGTAATTTGTAATTGTTTATTGAAGTTTTTTGAGAAGTTTTTACCTCTATCATGTCTATCCTCAGCCATGAGTAACTCCCAAAGTTCTGGTGTAGTTGTGGAGTTTTTCTATGTTTTGATATAGTGTCGCAATTTCAGTTTGTTTTTGTTTTTTTAATAAGACGATTATAATATGTTTGGGATTAGATGAAGTTGAATTTACGGTATATATGACAGCTGGGTCCCAGGTTAAATAGTTCATTTTGATGTTTGATTAGTGTGTGATTAGAAAATATTAATGAAGTTATCGGTTTTGTTAGGGAGAGTGATATGTCCGTTGTATAGTTTGTACAGTATTTTTTTTCTCTGATTTTTAGTCGGTGTTGAGTTTCTAATGTATTTTTCCGAGTCTCTGTGCGATTTCATCTAGTTGGTCTGGTGTAGTAAGTAAATAAGTAGACAGAACGTGTCTAAATTATTTAACGGAGCCTGTTGAAATATATATATATATATATATATATATATATATATATATATATATATATATATGTGTGTGTGTGTGTGTGTGATTTTTTATATATATATTATTTATATATTATATATGCGTGGTACTTATCACTACTTGCGATCGTCAGACAAACTGATTAATTTTAAAAATTTTGGGCTTTTATATTGTTGCGTAAATTGTCGTGGAGGAAAAATTGTCGTCGAACGCCACTCATATATACGTGGACATACATATACGCATGTAGCTCATATAAACATAAATATATGAACATGTGGGGCTAGGCGTATATGTGCATCTATGTGTCGTTGCGTACATACGTAGCAATCGGTCGCTGTATTCAATGTTGAATTGTATGGTGAAGATCTTTCGTCAATTGGAGGTCAACACGCAGATCGTTCGTCTATTTTGTTCGCGGAATAGTTATCTCGCACGCACAGATATACATATCTATGCACGTTCACACATCTATTCGTCTGTTTTTTTTTTATGATGGGATCTGTGTAAAACTAGTGTAGGTAAAATTGTTAATTTTGCTGGAGGTGGGAAAGCAGTATGATTGTAGACTGATGCGTTAATGGTAATTTTGTGGTGTTTACTTCCTTTCACGACAATGAAGAAAATAAGAACTAAAAAGTTGTGGGGTTCAGCGTGCCCGGATTAAAGGAGAATTTAATACGGGATACCCTGCCCACAAAATACAACGCAAATTTCAAGAAGAAACAACACGATAAGGAACGTTTGTAGAAAATAGAACATTGTATATTTATTATCTTGTGAATAGGGTAAAAAAGATTAATGTTTTAGTTCGTTTAAGCAAAAATGTGATTTTGACAGAAAATGTCTGTGTTCGCTGTCTTTCAACAGAGTAGCAGAGTAATGTCTGTTTCTTTTGTTTTTGTATAGTTGTAAAGGAAAAAGGGGCGAGCAATTTAAGCTGAAAAAAAGAGAGTGTGAATAAGGAATAAAGATAAAAGGAAAATGTACTTATGAATTGTTTTGGAGTCAGTTGTAAATTTGTTGTTGTTGTTGTTGTCCTTTCCTAATCCACTTTCGGCTCTTAGTGTCGGGTCGAGTCAGTGATGAAATTTACTGTCAGTCTTCTGTCCTCTATGATTTCTGCGCCCTGCTGACTGGCGACTGACTTGAAATTCTGTATTTATTGTTGACTTTTTTTTTACACTGGCTCGTTATCTTTTTTTTGGGGTTTAGCAAATCACCTCCTTTCATTGGTCAGAAAATTAATTTCACACCTTATTGTGAAATCTGTTTTTGGTCGTTTTGATCCGATTTTGCGGGTGTGCAAATCTACTTTGTGTTTTTTAGTCATTTGTTGAAATGATATAGAATTTGTATCCTATAAAGTAAAGAAAAAAGAAAGAGATGACTCGATATTTGTTATGATTTGAAGAAAAAAATGCTTTGTAGTTAAATGTATTTAAATAAATTTATTTATTACTTTATATTATTTTATATTTATAGATAAAATTTTACATACTAATTTTACTATGAAAATCTATGTAATAAAAGGGATTTCTAATATACAGGTACTCCCAAAGAAACGCGTGCCTTAGGTTTAAAATTAATTTTTAAAATGAAAAATCTTTCCATTTTATTTTTCTTTGTCTTTAACATACATCTCAAGACGCGATCAAGATATATTTTTTAGAATTGAATAAACAGATGTAGAGTAGGAAAACGAGTCTGTATTTGTTTCGCCATTTCTTTAAATGTGTTCTTAAACAAAATTGTTTACACAGGCTACAGACATATACGCGCTCGCGCACATTAACGATGGATCCAGTTTTGTTAAATTTATTTGGAAGGTAAGTAAACTTAATACATGGTCGCTTCATCGTGGTGTAATGATCAATAAGTTTGTCTCGCAAATCATTAATACTGTGCGGTGAATTCGATCCTGTCGGAGTTAACTCCTCCTTTAGTACATTAACCCTTTCACCAGGGGTCGCTCTTCCCTGGCTATAAATAGCCGCGGACCCTTCGCCTCTATCTCTTTTTCCTTCAGGCCTGTGCGCCGACACCTTGAGGTAAATCTCTCTTTTTCCTCAGGATTTCAGCTTACAACCTCGAAATGTAGGCGCTAACAAGGGATAGCGTGGAAACACGCTAAGCACAATACACACACACACGCACATACAGAATATTCACACACGCACGCACATACAGAATATTCCCATACACTTCATCCTTTGTACTGTTTCCATGTATTGTAACTTGTTATTAATATATATTTGTATATACATATATTATTGGTCTTGTGTTTTGTTTGCTTTCTTTGCCTTCTTCTTTGGACTTAATCTTTTTATGTAGTTGGGCCCGGCGGGCAGGAGTATCTGAACCTTACATGCGTTTCTTCTACGTCTGACTTCTATCAACATAACAGCCACGGCCCTCTACAATCCTCACTGTATGTGCCTAGACTAAACTAAGTTTAGTATATTAAATATGGATTGAAAACAGAGCTGAATTGAGTATGTATTCTTAATCTAGTCTTCTCGTAGACGTAAATAAATTTGATTTGTTTTGCAAAATAGAACAAATTTTAAAAAAAAATCCAAGAAATCTGTATTCCATGTCTCGGCCTGTATAAATAGCGAAATTTTGGTTGAAATAAGGCATACTTACTACTTATTCGACTATTATTCTTTCAGATGCCCATTTCGTGTGTAAAACAAGCAAGAGTCAATCAACTACTAAGTATACTATGGGAACTTATACTCAATTAAAACTTCATTGCTTCATAATGTATGAAATGTATTTTTACGGAGAGTACGGGAGCAGAACATGCTATCTGCTTCAACCAACCTTATAACCGGTTATATCGGGCGACATATCTTTGAAATTCCTGACCAGTGATAAAGATTAGAAACATTCTGTATGTAAGCTGGGTGTGCCTGAATTATGTGTTCACACTTTGCTAGTTAACGGCTTTAAATAAAAAAAAAATTCAGACTTTACAATATTATTTTTTTTTACATAGAAAACGCTTGTTCAAGTAGCTCAAAGCATTTTTACCTTAAATTTTAAGACATTACATGTAAACACACATGTATACACCCGCACATGCACTCTTGCCCACAGACATACGCACAAGCACACAGGCGAACACTTTGTCAAATATGTCAGATTACTGAATAAGATCATTTATAATATTATGTTTTGAGCACTCAATTAGATTTCCGATATTCCAGAATAGGAATTCTCTCTCTCTCTCTCTCTCTCTCTCTCTCTCTCTCTCTATAGTATATATATATATATATATATATATATATATATATATATATATATATATATATATGCGGCGTTTTGCTAGGTGGTTTGACAAATATTGGATCGTTTCTTGGCCTATGGCTGAGATTCGATCAAAGTTTCGACTAGCTTGGACTAGCTCCGGCCGGGACTTTGCTAGGACAAGTCATGACCAGCTTTGACTAGGCTCTGACCAGCTTGGACAAGCTATGACCAGTTTTGGACCAGTGGCCTTTGGTGGAAACACTCGGATCTCCCACGTTAAACGACCTTGTGTCACATCTTGACTTAGTGGGAGTCAAGTAAATACCAGAATTCACCCGCCGGCGTTATGCTGGATGGTTTGACAAATATTGGATCATTTCTTGGCCTATGGCTGAGATTAGATCAAGGCTTCGACTAGCTTGGACTGGCTCCGGCTGGGACTTGCTAGGACAAGTCATGACCAACTTTACCAGGCTCTGACCAGCTTGGACAATCTATGACCAGTTTTGGACCGGATACCTTTGAGTGGAAACACTTGGGTCTCCCACGTTAAACGACCTTGTGTCACCTCTTAACTTAGTGGGAGTCAAGTAAATACCAGAATTCGCCCGCCGGCGTTATGCTGGAGGGTTTGACAAATATTGGATCGTTTCTCGGCCTGTGGCTGAGATTCAATCAAGGCTTCGACTAACTTCGCCTGGCTCCGGCCGGGACTTGCTAGGACAAGTCATGACCAGCTTTGACTAGGCTTTGACCAGCTTGGACAAGCTATGACCAGTATCGGACCAGTGACCTTTGAGAGGAAACATTCGGGTCTCCCACGTTAAACGACATTGTGTCACCTCTTGACTTAGTGGGAGTCAAGTAAATACCAGAATTCGCCCGCCGGCGTTATGCTGGGTGGTTTGACAAATATTGGATCGTTTTTGGCCTATGGCTGAGATTCGATCAAGGCTTCGACTTGCTTGGACTGGCTCCGGCCGGGTCTTTGCTAGGACAAGTCATGACCAGCTTTGACTAGGCTCTGACCAGCTTGGACAAGCTATGACAAGTTTTGAACCAGTGGTCTTTGAGTGGAAACACTCGAGTCTCCCACGTTAAACGACCTTGTGTCACATCTTGATTTAGTGGGAGTCAAGTAAATACCAGAATTCACCCGCCGGCGTTATGCTGGATGGTTTGACAAATATTGGATCGTTTCTTGGCCTATGGCTGAGATTAGATCAAGGCTTCGACTAGCTTCGCCTGGCTCCGGCCGGGACTTGCTAGGACAAGTCATGACCAGCTTTGACTAGGCTTTGACCAGCTTGGACAAGCTATGACCAGTATCGGACCAGTGACCTTTGAGTGGAAACATTCGGGTCTCCCACGTTAAACGACATTGTGTCACATCTTGACTTAGTGGGAGTCACGTAAATACCAGAATTCGCCCGCCGGCGTTATGCTGGGGGGTTTGACAAATATTGGATCGTTTCTTGGCCTATGGCTGAGATTCGATCAAGGCTTCGACTAGTTTGGACTGGCTCCGGCCGGGACTTGCTAGGACAAGTCATGACCAGCTTTGACTAGGCTCTGACCGGCTTGGACAAGCTATGACCAGTTTTGGACCAGTGGCCTTTGAGTGGACACACTCGGATCTCCCACGTTAAACGGCCTTGTGTCACATCTTGACTTAGTGGGAGTCAAGTAAATACCAGAATTCGGCTGCCGGCGTTATGCTGGGTGGTTTGACAATATTGGATCATTTCTTGGCCTATGGCTGAGATTCGATCAAGGCTTCGACTAGCTTGGACTGGCTCCGGCCGGGACTTGCTAGGACAAGTCATAACCAGCTTTGACTAGGCTCTGACCAGCTTGGACAAGCTATGACAAGTTTTGGACCAGTGGCCTTTGAGTGGAAACACTCGGATCTCCCATGTTAAACGACCTTGTGTCACATCTTGATTTAGTGGGAGTCAAGTAAATACCAGAATTCGCCCGCCGGCGTTATGCTGGTTGGTTTGACAAATATTAGATCATTTCTTGGCCTATGGCTGAGATTAGATCAAGGCTTCGACTAGCTTGGACTGGCTCCGGCTGGGACTTGCTAGGACAAGTCATGACCAACTTTGACCAGGCTCTGACCAGCTTGGACAATCTATGACCAGTTTTGGACCGGATACCTTTGAGTGGAAACACTTGGGTCTCCCACGTTAAACGACCTTGTGTCACCTCTTACTTAGTGGGAGTCAAGTAAATACCAGAATTCGCCCGCCGGCGTTATGCTGGAGGGTTTGACAAATATTGGATCTTTTCTCGGCCTGTGGCTGAGATTCGATCAAGGCTTCGACTAGCTTCGCCTGGCTCCGGCCGGGACTTGCTAGGACAAGTCATGACCAGCTTTGACTAGGCTTTGACCAGCTTGGACAAGCTATGACCAGTATCGGACCAGTGACCTTTGAGAGGAAACATTCGGGTCTCCCACGTTAAACGACATTGTGTCACCTCTTGACTTAGTGGGAGTCAAGTAAATACCAGAATTCGCCCGCCGGCGTTATGCTGGGTGGTTTGACAAATATTGGATCGTTTTTTGGCCTATGGCTGAGATTCGATCAAGGCTTCGACTTGCTTGGACTGGCTCCGGCCGGGTCTTTGCTAGGACAAGTCATGACCAGCTTTGACTAGGCTCTGACCAGCTTGGACAAGCTATGACAAGTTTTGGACCAGTGGTCTTTGAGTGGAAACACTCGAGTCTCCCACGTTAAACGACCTTGTGTCACATCTTGACTTAGTGGGAGTCAAGTAAATACCAGAATTCGCCCGCCGGCGTTATGCTGGGGGGTTTGACAAATATTGGATCATTTCTTGGCCTATGGCTGAGATTCGATCAAGGCTTCGACTAGCTTGGACTGGCTCCGGCCGGGACTTCCTAGGACAAGACATAACCAGCTTTGACTAGGCTCTGACCAGCTTGGACAAGCTATGACCAGTTTTGGACCAGTGGCCTTTGAGTGGAAACACTCGGGTCTCCCACGTTAAACGACCTTGTGTCACATCTTGACTTAGTGGGAGTCAAGTAAATACCAGAATTCGCCCGCCGGCGTTATGCTGGGTGGTTTGACAATATTGGATCATTTCTTGGCCTATGGCTGAGATTCGATCAAGGCTTCGAGTAGCTTGGACTGGCTCCGGCCGGGACTTGCTAGGACAAGTCATAACCAGCTTTGACTAGGCTCTGACCAGCTTGGACAATCTATGACCAGTTTTGGACCAGTGGCCTTTGAGTGGAAACACTCGGGTCTCCCACGTTAAACGACATTGTGTCACCTCTTGACTTAGTGGGAGTCAATTAAATACCAGAATTCGCCCGCCGGCGTTATGCTGGGTGGTTTGACAAATATTGGATCGTTTCTTGGCCTATGGCTGAGATTCGATCAAGGCTTCGACTAGCTTGGACTGGCTCCGGCCGGGTCTTTGCTAGGACAAGTCATGACCAGCTGTGACTAGGCTCTGACCAGCTTGGACAAGCTATGACAAGTTTTGGACCAGTGGTCTTTGAGTGGAAACACTCGGGTCTCCCACGTTAACCGACCTTGTGTCACATCTTGATTTAGTGGGAGTCAAGTAAATACCAGAATTCGCCCGCCGGCGTTATGCTGGTTGGTTTGACAAATATTAGATCATTTCTTGGCCTATGGCTGAGATTAGATCAAGGCTTCGACTAGCTTGGACTGGCTCCGGCTGGGACTTGCTAGGACAAGTCATGACCAACTTTGACCAGGCTCTGACCAGCTTGGACAATCTATGACCAGTTTTGGACCGGATACCTTTGAGTGGAAACACTTGGGTCTCCCACGTTAAACGACCTTGTGTCACCTCTTACTTAGTGGGAGTCAAGTAAATACCAGAATTCGCCCGCCGGCGTTATGCTGGAGGGTTTGACAAATATTGGATCGTTTCTCGGCCTGTGGCTGAGATTCGATCAAGGCTTCGACTAGCTTCGCCTGGCTCCGGCCGGGACTTGCTAGGACAAGTCATGACCAGCTTTGACTAGGCTTTGACCAGCTTGGACAAGCTATGACCAGTATCGGACCAGTGACCTTTGAGAGGAAACATTCGGGTCTCCCACGTTAAACGACATTGTGTCACCTCTTGCCTTAGTGGGAGTCAAGTAAATACCAGAATTCGCCCGCCGGCGTTATGCTGGGTGGTTTGACAAATATTGGATCGTTTTTTGGCCTATGGCTGAGAGTCGATCAAGGCTTCGACTTGCTTGGACTGGCTCCGGCCGGATCTTTGCTAGGACAAGTCATGACCAGCTTTGACTAGGCTCTGACCAGCTTGGACAAGCTATGACAAGTTTTGGACCAGTGGTCTTTGAGTGGAAACACTGAGTCTCCCACGTTAAACGACCTTGTGTCACATCTTGATTTAGTGGGAGTCAAGTAAATACCAGAATTCGCCCGCCGGCGTTATGCTGGGGGGTTTGACAAATATTGATCGTTTCTTGGCCTATGGCTGAGATTCGATCAAGGCTTCGACTAGCTTGGACTGGCTCCGGCCGGGACTTGCTAGGACAAGTCATGACCAGCTTTGACTAGGCTTTGACCAGCTTGGACAAGCTATGACCAGTTTTGGACCAGTGGCCTTTGAGTGGAAACATTCGGGTCTCCCACGTTAAACGACATTGTGTCACCTCTTGACTTAGGGGGAGTCATCGTTAAATACCAGAATTCGCCCGCCGGCGTTATGCTGGGTGGTTTGACAAATATTGGATCGTTTCTTGGCCTATGGCTGAGATTCGATCAGTTTCGACTAGGGCTTGGACTGGCTCCGGCCGGGACCTCAAGTAAATAGGACAAGTCATGACCAGCTGTGACTAGGCTCTGACCAGCTTGGATCATTTATGACAAGTTTTGGACCAGTGGTCTTTGACTGGTGGAAACACTCGGGTCTCCCACGTTAAACGACCTTGTGTCACATCTTGATTTAGTGGAGTCAAGTAAATACCAGAATTCGCCCGCCGGCG